TAAAGTATTTGTAAGTATACTGCATTTATCACTCCAACTGCCTTGTCACATTTCACAGGAATAAGCTATATGAATCTTAATAATTTAGTATTCAAAAACTATGTAAAAACATTTTACTTTGTATCTTTTCTATTTGCAGCAGTTCTATCACTTCACGTACATTTGTTTAAGGCTGCTGAAACACTTGGACTTATTTTATGTAATATAAATCAACTACAGCCCACTGAGAACTGCAAGTTGACAGTCATGACATTCTAACAAAGACAGTGACAGCATTCAGTCTTTTCCAGTTGTGATTCTCTCACAGGTGAGGGATCAGCACACCTCACTCCTGTCCTGATAGATAAAACAAGCTCTAAATGAGAAAAAGAGGCAGTAACCCATATTTCCTCCTTCTCTTCAAGGTAGTATTTAACTCTGTATCGTTTTTTCAGTTCTTTTAATTTCTGAAGGTTTTAATCCTGCTGCACACTGAGGCTTCTGAGCTACTGCATCTTATCACCTCTAAATAATGAAGGTCATTAACAGAAGTATTATCCAATCTCCCTTAGATAAAAAAAAAAAAGACAAGAGTGAAAATTCACTGATTTCTATTACAAAGGTTCACTAGAACAAGCAAAACTGAATAGCCACATTATTAAAAGATTATAAATGCAAGCTCACACATGGTGGACATCGGTCCTTCATCTCACTGAAAGCTCATATCTTAGAAATGTGGTGCTCCACGTCAATGAACCTCTGTGTGAGACTCAATGGCAGTTTTGTGATGCAGACAAATAGCTATTTGAAACTGGTTTGAGACAGCCAATGTTTTTAACCTGAGGCAATCTTGTATTGTAGTGATAGAAGTAAGGCTATTAATGAACTCAACAATATTTAACTATTCGTGTTGAGCCTCCCACTGGTCAAACTTCAGAAGTCTAACACTGTACTGCTCAGGGCAAGAAAATGAAATAGGAACTATTTTCATCAGGAAAAAGGCTAAAGTTCTTCCTATTTAGAAGGCAAAATCAGGGCAAATTTTAAAAGCAGCCTCAAATGCATATTTTTGCATCTCAGTCTCTTCCTGTCTTTCAAGAACAGAAAAATTCACATTCTTTGCTGTTTTCTACAGTATGATGAGTAGAAAATTACAAAGTTGTTATAGTCTTTATAGTCCAGATGTCTCTAACTGAGTTCTAGCTCAAGATTCAGCAAGAACAAAGATGCGGTCAATGCTTGCAGTAGCAAATTCAGACACAACTTCCATCTTAGAGGAAAAGCAGAAACTGAGAGATCTTTCAATCAATGCAGGCAAGTGACACCTTCAGTCATCTGAAAACTTACTGAGCACAGTTACATCACATGTCTGCATCTGCATTAAGAAAAGAAGTGCAAATGATAATAAGTGTACTGTACAGAAATTCACTTTTTCTTGGCAGTTACAGTATGGATCATAACTCTAAAGTGAAACTCCTCTCTCTCCTCTCAAATTCTTAACAGTACATTTACTAGAGCACCATGGTAATGGAAGTCTGTAAGGAGATAGCACAGAGGCAAAAAATGAACATGAACAGATAGGCAGGAAATTCTCTATTTTTGTTCAGTGCTGTCCTGGAGCCCAGCAGTACCTGCTCGGCTGCCTTTCTGCCCTTGTACTGCAACCATGCAAACACCTGGAAGAGGATAGGAGAGAACAGGAGAACTGGCCTATTCACTGCCACTCCAACCACTTAGCAACACAGTTAACTTCAAGGTCTCTTCAGACGCTCAGAAACTACAATCCTTCCTCCAAGCCCACAGGACACAACTGTGGCAGCACAGTCACCATGGAAAGTTCAGCTGCACTTCACTGTCAGTACCACAAGCCCGTTTCACACCTAATTCCTTCTTAATAGTGTTTGTCTCTAAAAAGTCTATTTTACACCTGATACTGAAACTGAAGGGCTAGTTTTCCTAGCTAATTCCTTCCAACTCTCAACAGTAACTGAAGCTGGTGCTATTAATCCTACTTAACAAATGGAGAGCAGGTCAAGAAAGAAGGCACAAGCCTAAAACAAGTCTGAAATCAATTACTTTTCAGTCTTGTGCACTGTCTTTTGGACAAAGCTTTAGATCTCTTGCTATTTGAAATTCCAGCTAGAAACAGACATGTTTAATAGTGTTGTTTCAGACACCATGACAGTAATGCATTTCAATCTGCTTCCTGTGTCTATTACCCTCCTGTGCTTGTGAGCGCCAGCTAAGTTTAGCAACTTATTAGGCTGGAGTCACAATACCATTAGAGGTCTGGATCAGTAATTCACCAAGCAGGAAACAAAACATCTCTTGTTGAAATAACTGCAGCTATAATTGAAGAATTTTTTTAAGAACAGTTTAAAAAGGAAGAAGTCATTCAGTAGCCATACAAACCTCATTGTGTGCATCCATTTTAGAAGACAAAAAATAGGTCGCACTCAAATCAACCAAAACCTCTGGCTGACATAACTATTTTAAATCAGCTGAGCTTTGACATTGGAGTAACAACTATCAGAGGTCATCCTGATCATTTTTCTCTTTATATTGAAATTGGACAGTTTCAATACAAACATTACTAGCCATTGTTCTAAACAATGCAGACCAAGCAGCTACAAAAACACTCCAAGGAAAAACCAAGTCAGGTCATCACCAAGGAAGAAGCAAGCAATATTACAAGAGACTTGACACCTGTAAAAAGGGCAGCTTATTGTAATCAAAAAACTTCATAATACTGAGAAAGCACAACGAGCCAGGAGACGTATATAAAGCACTACTATCCTGCTATTGCAATAGTAAAAGGTTACAATAGGGGTGAGGGGATAGACAGAAGTCTCAATACTTTTGGAAAAGAAAAGAACTTAAAATATTAACACCACAAAGGAAATGGCTATCTTGAAAAGATTACAATATTATATAAACCCTTGAAACAAGAACATAAGCATTAACCCACTCCAGGTCTCGGAAACTGCAAAAGGTAAAACAAGCAGAGATCAGCACGGAATGTTTGGCAGAAGTTGGTCTGGTACTAAAGCACTTAAAAATTCAACCAAACTCTACACACGGTAATAGGAAAAGCTTTGACAGCTGTCTGACCAAATGTACGCAAATCTCAGAATCAAACAATTTCTGTTGTAATGCAGGGGAAAGCCCTTGCTTTTCAGTCTTGTGTATTGCTCTAAGGTGGTTGGTGAAAAGCAGCTGAGGCAACAGGACACTGTCATAGCACTGCCCTCCTTGCTTTGGAAGGCTTCCCAACTTGCCAGATGAAGAAAGAGCAGCAATGTACAGAAATCAGTGCACTCAGCACTTAACCCACTTCACAAGACACAAGGCAGAGCACGTCCACTTCCTTCCACACAAATGTGTATCTTCATCTATCTTCACTGACCTTTGCCAAAGGAGTAAAAGGGTCAATGTTCAGAGCCACTCCTGACTCAAACAGCTTTCACTGACCGTTTAATTGATTGTGCTGTGCTTGGGATTCATTGGGGCTTAACAGGCTTGTACATGCTGCTGAAAGACAAGAGTTAAACAACAAATCTGTACACAGATGTGTTTTATCCAAAGTAATACAACAGCTTTGTCTATCAGATGGAACCAAAATTTCAGGTCACTTAGGAATTTGGGAAGACTGTGGTAATACTATTTCACCTTGTTCCATCTCCTTGGTCTTTGAACCTCTTTCAGTGCATCTATTTACTTTATGCAGACACGTTTAGCAACTTCTAGACAAGGAAAAAGGGTTGGGGGAAATCAGTTGGCCAAAGGAGAAAATAATTCCACAAATCTTGTAAGCATTTCTGTGTCACATCTTGGAAACGTGTTCAGGGACGAAGAACATATTTATGCAAAATCTGAAGTCCAGCTTCAGAAGCACAGCAAAAGGAAGAAACAAAAACCAGTCACCTTTGGGTCTCATTTTCCTCAACCACATCTGAATATAAAGGCTTCTACAGTTGCCAAGTTTACAGGCAATGCAGGCCGCCTCCTAACAATCCTTGTCAATAAAGAAAGGCTTCCCACAAACCATCATGGAGATGAGGAGGAGAGCAAGCACAAAATCACTAGAGCTCTCTGCTTAATAAAGCATAGCAACAACTAAAATTTTGCCTCTTTAACCTTCAAAGACTGCACTATGTCATATTCTATTCTACCACACTTCCTGCCTTATCATTCTCATTTAACATGTGGTACTTCACACTTCCAAGGTTCACTTCTCCTCCTCCTTCCCACCTCCCCCCATCAAGAAACACAGAGAACCTAAACATGACTATGAATGCTATAACTAAGAAAAGCAAATGATCCTTGTATTGAACTATAAAGAACCAGATTTTTTTAATATACCTTGAATTAGATGTGTTGCTAATTAAAGCATTTGAATTATCTAAGAACACATGCCAGAAAAAGTAGTGTATTAAGAAAAAGGATATTATGCAAGCAAGTGCTCCTGTAGCATGCAATGAGATGGTTGGCTTGGGAGGCTAATGAATTAGTACAAACAATTTAAATCTAATTTAATTTAACAATGTAGAGCATTTGTGCATTGCAAAGCAACAGACAGTAATCTGTTTCTTCATTAAATCAAAGATAAAATTGCTGATTATCCTTCCCTGAATTATTTTATTGAAGAGGATAGCAAACAAATTTTATATTTAGTCATAAAAGTTCACGGCTATTCCCCAAACATGCCAATGTAACCAGTGAAGGGTACCAGTGAACAGAATACAGGCCAGCTGTGGTTTAGCACAACACATTATTCAGCCAAAACAGATTCTCACATTTTAACATTTTAGTTGGTGAACAAATGTTTATGCTGAAAATTAATACGGCATTTTAAGTTTACTTTTCATTTTCACAAAACATATCTAAACAGTACCATTTACTACTCCCAATCTTCAGAAGTTCTAAAATTATATACTGAGAATGCTGAGCATTTGGTATTGCCAGAGGTACTAAAATTATTAACCTTCCCCTCTGTTTAACAGATAAATTTATATACTTGCCTCAAAAGTGTTACCGGTGATATCAAATTCTGGTGGAACAAAGGCACCTTCTGGATCATCTTTGAAAACAAAAGGAAACATGCCAGTTTAGAAATTAGTAGTCTTGTTTCAAAAAACCACAAACCAACTTGATGAATCAAATTTAATGATACACTCCTATCTGATACAAAAGAAACTTTGTATAGCAGTATTTTCCTTCAATCCGCTGTACAAAGAACTTGTTATCCATGTTTCTAGTGCTGGAAGTAAAATAAAGTGCTATTTTCAAACTTTCTCCAAGAAATTATCATAACTTCCCACTAAGAAACAAAACAGATTAAACACCCACAAAGAAATACATTTAACATGTCTAACCACTTCTTGCCTTCAGACATTTATGTTTGGACCCAGTTATCACCTAAGCTGGTGTGGCTCAGCTGTGGCTTAAGAGGTTTGATTTGATTAATTGGACACTTCCATTCACTACTTTCCAATACAGACCTGGGTGATAAGGGCTCAAGAAGCAAAGTCAGTCTGAACAGCTAATGCTTCTTCATCTACAGGCCAGCTTAAAACTCTGACCTTTCTGCTTAGTTTGTTTTACTTCTGATAAAAGAGTAGAGGAAGTAAATTCCCCACATGTGCTGCTGAGCAGAAAACTGAGCTACTATCTTAAGAGAGACCAATGCTGTTTCTGTATCCAAGCAGGTACACAGTATCACACTGCACTTACATCACATGAACCCAGTAAAGAACATCAAGGAATTAAACAAGAGCACAACTAAAAAACCTACTCTCCACATACATATCCAACTCACCTAATCTATTCTTCTGGGAAGTCAGGATGATTGAGATGATTTACACGCAAAAAGTGTGTTTCCCTTCTCAACAAGAAGAAAAAAATAGTATGTTCAGAGGCACAGCATAATCATCATAACTTTAGCTTTAATAGAACTTTTGTGCCTGTACTCTAGAAGTAAAATGCAAAGTTTTTATTAAACCCAGTTATATAGCAGAGACTACTAGAGAGGACTTTTTTCCACATATTCATATATTGCAGCTATGCGGCATGGTTGTCTAACCAGACACCAGTAACTGATTTACAGCTCCTTAGGACATTCCCAAATGTACTTTCCCACTGAAAAAGAGGGTTGTGCAACTAATTTTGCATTCCTTACCCACCACCACATTTTTTCTTGATTTTGGGGGTGAGTGGAAGAGGCAGAAGGGAGCTAATGGACAGATGTTTTTTCTCTTCTCTCCCCTACCTGCAGACTACTGCTCCTTTTTATCTCCCCACTACCTTTCCCCTTTCTTTCCATAGAACACTTTAAAGGCTGTACAAGTAATTAACTTTCAGCTCACTGTATTCTTTTACTATAATGTTTACAATGGGAATTTGTGTGAAGAGACAAGAAGGTATCAGACTGCTTGGAAGAACATCCTATTGAATGTTTGTCACTTTAGCACTACAGAACCTGCAGGAAGCAGAGCTTGCTGCTAAAGCAGACATGACAGGCTGTTCATTTGCTCTCACTGGAAAGCAAATCCAGAGGTTATCATTTTCTTCTGGAAGAATAAATCCATAGGCAACAACTGCAGGGAAGCAAAAAGGACAACCTCCTCAAGTGCCTACCTAACAAACTGTATTGAAAGAGCCAAAGACAGTGGAGCGTGAGAGAAACAGAACATAGGCATAACTTATTTGCATTCCTATGGAAAACATAAATGCAAAATCTTCTCCTTAGAGACTAACATGACTTCAGGGAACTAAATCTTGGTACATTTGCTCTGCACAGGAATTTGTTATCCCACATTTTAAGTACTTGAATACAGCATTCCTGGATCAATTGTTTGCCAGCTATTCAATTAACTAAAACATTTAAGAAGAAATTGATTTTTCCCTTTCCCAGCTAGAAGTAAAGATCTTAGCTGAGGGGCATTTTTCATCCACTAGACTTATGCTCTTCAACAAGTCTTTCATATACCCTTGGCTTATACAAAGCCAGCTTCTTTTTCTTTTTTTAATTTCAAGGTATAACAAGCTCCTTAAAATAAAGAAAATTTATTCCACATTGCCCTGTTAGAATTAAACTAAAAGTTGTCTTGTGTCTATTTAAGGAATTTAATGAAAAACAAATATAACAACAATTATTAAGATCTAGTTCCATCTTTATTAATTATATTTTATGATCCTTTTATATGAAAAAACTATCTTTAATTCTAAAGAGGCAACAAATCTTCATTTGTTGCAATGTTATCTTCTCATTTTTGTTCTAGCATTTTTTCTAAATACCATGGTCTAGATTTTGCCAAAAAGAATAAACACTTATCCTGACAGAGATTTAAAAATAAATTAGGTTAAAGAAAACAAAAATTTGACTAGTGTCTATCTAAAGTAGAATGGTTCTCCTAGTTGAGCCAAGATAACTTTAAAAGTACCATAGAGTAGAAGCTGATTTGTTTTCTTTATTCTTCCTCTGTAAAATCATTAAGAGACTTAAGACTTATCATCTTGAGATGCATCACATGAGAAAGGAACAGCAACCATAATATGTTTTTTTGTCTAAGCTTAAAAAAACCTACTTGTTTCAAGTCAAGCATCTTCCTGTTCATCTGCTATGAAACCTGAGCATTTTCCATGCTACTACATACTGTTTCTTAACATATTAAATTAATTTCTCAATCAGTCCCAATAAATGGCAAGTCTGAAAATCTTTTTTATTCAATAGAGAGCTCTAAAAAAAACCCAAGGCCTTCATTTGAGAGAACTTTCCTTTTTAACAGCAAATATGCAGTAGAATTGCTCCATTTTTTATGGCCACAATCGCCAAGATACTTTGAATATCAGACGTCTCTAGAAACAGAACATAGCCATGAAATCAGAAGATCTGTAAGAGGTGAAGGACATGCTTTACAAAGGGAGAGAATCATGCACACAGGTGCTCAATCTGTGTGTTTCCAATGGACATAAAAAAGACTTATCAACCTGGATAAGTCTTAAAATAACTAGGAGGAATGTTCTAAGCAAAACAGCCTTTGTTCATCAAGTAAAAACTGAACAGTTTCACATGTACAGATACACATCCTTTCCAAATAAGTTTTATTTTATCTTTATTTTAATTGTAAGTCTTAAAAACAGAATGTAATATTTTACTGCAGTTTCTCACTATGAGTTTCCACAGTTCTAAAACAAACAGCCTGGAAACACAAATACTCACCACTGAGCTGTTCCATGAAGCATACATTGCCATTGGTGTTAAAAGCCAAAGTGTCAGGAGTGATGCAGAGTGTCTGGAAGATTGCAGAATGGGCAATGCTCTTCAAAGAATGGCAACACTCCAGGCAAATTGCCCAAATATCTTGCTCAGTAAGACAGCTATCCCGCAGTGACAAAATATCAGCAAGGGACACATTCTCCTGCCAAGATAGGAATTAATAAATTATCCTGGATTTCATGACACTACTTTCTGTATCATAGATTACATTTGACACAATTGCCTACAAGTAATGTTTCCAGCAAGTTCTCAGACTTTCTAGGACACTGATTAACACCCCAAGAAACACCAAGTGCATGACTTTGCTCTTAACACAGAGATGTTTTAAGAACCACAGTTAACCTGAACAAAGATATCACAGTATACCAACATAAAAAAATACTATGGGGGATATGTAAGTTACATAAACACCGCATCAAAGGAAAGAGACCACTTGGAGGTAAAAGCAGAGAGACTAAATGAAAACATTTTGTTTCACCAGTGCCTTTCAAGCTCTCCCAGGTGTCTTTATATAAACTACTTAAAAATTCTCTTCACAGCACTTCTCCCTACCATTTGTGATCTGGGAAAAAGTGCCCTTTAGATTAGCCTGTCTTAAGAATGATGCTATTGTGAAGTTTAGTAGTATAGACCATTTAATAAACATTGAAAAGTCAAACATACCATAGGAAAAGTGTTTTAATACTTGGACTTAAAACCAAACCCTTTGGTTATCCTAGGCCTTCCCATTACATCCAGAGACTTTAGTGATCAAAGCAGCTCATGGACTTAAGTTTCTAAGTTGCTGTCCTAAACTGTAGTGAACTTGCACTGACCCTCTATCACAGTAACGCTATGAGTCCAGTCCCAAACAAATGTGTTTCTGATGTGGCTTTCCTGGTCAAGATGTTCAGAAACATTGCTTGACTCAAAGCAACCAGACTCTCTACGGATATTTTTGGAATACAATCCTAATACATTACCCACAGCTACAGAAGTCAAATTTTCATGAACTTCAAGGAATGAGGGAAACAAACAAAACATCAGTTTGATCTATAAAGAAAAAGAAGGTAACAAAAATGGAAGGTACCTATAGAAGTTACTTTGTATCAGAGCTATAATTACTAATAATTACACAGTATTTTCTTATTTATATGTAATTAAGACTAAAGACTATTCTTCTCTGTGATATTAAATATAACCTGAATGGAAGATATAGATACACACTGCTTAACATGGAGAAAAAATAAAGTGTGTCATTATCAGCAAAAGAGGATGTGAAGTATCTTACAGCTCAGAAAACTGCTGTGGTTTAAACTCTTATCCCTTGGAGAACAGTTACAAATTTCTTTACCTACTCCAGCACTAGAGAACATCAATGATATCTGGATTACCATATACAGAAAGGGTTAAAAGTTTATTAACATGTCTTTCAGAGAATTAAGCATTGCTTTCATAATATCCTTCAAGTAAGAACCAAACCTCAGTCCAAAAGTGCATTGTGCTTTTTACTCTAAAGTATAATGCTTAATAAATATGAGGTAGGAAATAAAGCACACTCATTGGTATTTGGTAAACTTCACTTCTCTTTCCAATGGTCTTCTTTTTCATAGTCATGGCGTAGACACAGATTGATTTACTAATGGCAGAACTACTACAGTGCCTTCTAGCACTAATCATGGATCCTGGTCTTATCAAATTCAGTCCTACATAATAATGAACAGCAAAAAAATCTCTGCACAAAATCTTGTTTTCTCTGTACTGTGCTCAGTCCAATTGTGTAATGTTGCCAACAGAGTTTGAGGTCCTGGTTTAGGGTAAATTTGGGAGAGAACCTCCAAATGGGGTCCCTCCAGAAAACAGAACTCCAGCTACCCCAGGACAGTGGAGGAGGAGGTTTTGCATATCTCCATAGGGAAGCTGTTCCAAGCATGAAGAGCAGCACAGAGGTTCCTCTATCTCCAAACAAAACCACATGGCATGAAACTCTCCTACAAACATCAGGCTTTGAAACTGACCAAATTGAGCAGTGGAATGAGGATAGGCTTAGAAAGAAGAGACTCACTGCCTATTCTATGGCCAGCAAAAACAGTTAAAAAAAATAGTTCCGTGATCTAAACGATGAATGAGTAATTATTAACTCTCCTAGCATCCTCCAGCTAGGTGACATGATGGCATTTGCTACAACAGAGAAATAAAAGAATGCTTCGCTAATCAAGATGCAAAACTATGAGCTTCATCTGTGCATATGGACAAAAGAGGCTCAATTTAGAATGTACATGAAAAAATTAAACCTGCAATCTTTAAGACAGCCTCAATATCACATTCCAGCCACAATAAGGACTTGTGAGAACTTTGGAGTTAAGCTTTGAGGCTGACTCCACTGCAGATAATAATCATCAGCAATGATATCTACAGCACAAACCTAGAAAACATCTTTGTCCTGTGGTTATTTGGGAAGTAAACAAAAGGCAGTGATCTAATGTCAGATAACCTTAGTTTATCTTCCTTCCCAGGGATGAGAAAGTTATGTCATACAGAAAAAGAAAAAAAAAAAAAGGAAAAAGGAAAGTCCTATGAATGTTCCATGGCTTCCATCAGAAAAAAACATCCTTTTAACACTGGAACACAGGAAGTTGTGGCAAGCTGAAGCTTCTGGTGGGCAGCTGCTTCAGTACTGTGGACCACTGGAAGTTGTTTCATTCAACTGTGGTAAATATCAGAGATGCTGATGCCTCTTTTTTTGTCTCTTTCAGCAAAAGACACTCATGTCTGGTTTTAACTTGAAAGTATCTGGTTTTAACACTAAGAACTACAAAAAGTAAACCCGTCAGGCAATCATGCTTAACTGCTCACTTTAGTTTTCAGCTTTCCCTTGTATTTTCTTCAGCAAGTACAAAACAGTTCAGGAGCATATAATTAAGCAGAGATAATTAACAGAGAGTAGAAATAAAAAAATTAAGTGGGTGCAAGCCATTTCTTAAAATTTTTGAAATTGAATATTAAGAAGTATAAAATGAAGAAAGTTCTAGTAAAGAGAGGAAATTGAAACACACCCTTATCCTTAGCATTTTCTACTCTTCAGCTCAGGCAGATTCCTGCTTCACATGTTGGCAAAAAACCACCTGCATCAGACACCAACATAATTCTTTATACTTGGTAAAGTGATGAGAAGAGCAGACTCCACTAAATGACTAAGCAACTCAGAGTTCAGTACAACAGCACTCACAGCCTTCTGACACCTTTTTGCCATGATAATTCACACAACCTTCAAAGCAATCTATTCCAGAATCACAGACAATGTGGCCAACGCCATCCATTATATTCATCACATCTGAAGAAAAACACTGGATTGCCTTAGTAAGCTCTCTGAATACTCTTCAAAACAGCTCTTTTCATTAACTTATCTAATCACCAGGTGATAGGTCATGCTCATTCTCCCAAGAAAAATATGGAAACTCTTTATGTTTCTGTAATAATTAAACAGATGGGACTTGTTTGTTGATACAATCAATGTATACACTGAGCAGGCATGAAAATTGGGCCCCGGTCTTTCTTGTATAGAAAAGTTGACCCTTAGCCTTCTCCATTCTGAGAAAATACTCTAAGTATTTAAGTCAACATGTAAAAAATAAGGCCATTACCACCTTCCTCCTAGATTTTGCATGGACCACTCTGAGAGGGCCTACAGCAATTGAACACTGCAGACAGTGGAAGAGCCAAACTGACAATCCATTGGGTGACTTAGGAAAACTCAAAAGAGCTTTGCGTTTTCAAACTTGCATTTAACTCCTGATTCAATATGGATTCTTGACATAGTAAGTTAGAAAGTTTGCAAGATTTTGTTCAAGGAATGAGCAGCTCACATATGGCTCACCAAACCTTTACTTAAAAAAGGAAAAACTTCAAACATTTGGCCCCAACATTCACAAAGGGGTAAGAAACATACTTTACATGAAAAGATATAAAGATCAGTAACAACAACAAAAAGCAAGGGCAAAACCAATAATAGAGTCAGACGGATGTGAAGACAAGAACTGGGTTTAGCCACAGGTTATTTGGCACAACAACTAAATCAAACAGATTTAACAGTTTGATAGTTTGGTTCTTATTTCCCAGTGTCAAAGGCCTTTTAGCACAGGGCACCAATATACGGTCATACGAAAAAAAAAAAAGCGTTTGGCAGCTTCGGGAAACTGTTTTGCCCATGTAAAACTCCCTTGATCGGGTGCGACAAGGACACGTACTTGCCGACTGCAGCATTAACCCACGGCTACGACAGCAGTGACGAGACACCCCGCACTCGAGGACCATGACTTTGCTGTTGTGAGGCGAAGGTCCACAGGAACGGGCTAAGCCCAAGTTGGTGGCTAGTACCGCGGGGCAGGAGGCAGCGAGGAGCGGCCGAAGCACACACGGAAAGCGAGCGGTGTTGGGGCCGCGGCCTGGCCGCTCCCGGGGGCGGGTGCACCCCCGGCCCGGCCGCCTCCCGCGGGCGGCCCCTGAGGCCGCTACACTACAGGTGAGCGCAAGGGCGGCGGCTCCATCCCCGCACCTGCCTCACTCACCTCATCCTCCAGCAGCGTCGGCAGAGGCTCAAAGTCGTAGCAGTTCACCTCCTCCTCCTCCTCCTCCTCCTCATAAAACACGTCCTCTGCAGCGCCAAGAGTGTCCATCCCGCCCGGCGAGGGAGCAGAGGCTTCACCTCCGCAGCCTCCCTGTGCGCTCGGAGCACGGCCCTCGGCCCCCGCCGCGGCTCATCCTCACAGCCGCCTGCGGGCTGCCCCCGGCGGCGACCCCCGCGGCGCCGCCCGCCCGCTTTAACCCCCTCCCCTGCCGGGCCCGGTCCGGGGCGCCCCCGCCCCTCCGCTCAGGCCCGGGCCCGGGGCAGCGCTGCCATGGCAACGGCTGCCGCCTCCCCGCGCGGCCTCACTGCGGCGGCTCCCGCCCCCCTGCGGCGCCGCCCGCCCCCGCCGCGCCCCGGGCGGCACCGGCGGCCGGCCGCGCCCCGTGCCCTGCGCCCCGCGGCCCCCGCTCGCCGCCGTGGGGCGGCGGTGCCGCGGCCCTGCGCCCTGAGGAGCGCGCCCGCCGCAGTGCGAGCTGCGCCCGCCGGGGCCCCGCGGGAGCCGGGGCCGGTCGCCTCTCGGCTGCGCTCTGCGGGCGAACGGGAGCGGCGGGGAGGGAGGGCTGGTGAGAGGGTGCCCGAGTGGGACCGGCGCTGTGCCGCGGCGCTGCCGCCGCCGCCGATCCCCGCCCTGCCTGGCCGAGCCTTCGGGCTCGTATTACCGCCACCGGCTCTCCCAAACGCTGGATTTACAGGATAAACCGGTGTTCAGAATTAACACAAGTGGCCAAGTATTTGCACGCTCATGCCATAATTCTTGACGCAGTTCGAGCCATAACAACCACAAACGAAAACCAAGGCGCTGTCACCAGCTTTACGTTCATTAGCACCGGCCCATTTTTGCTATCCACGGGGCTTAGGGTGCCTCAAGTAACTTCATTAAGACTCCCCTTGAAATCGAAGGTTCAGGATCAAGGATTCCTTCAAAACCACTACCCACAGAAGCCAGTTTTTAATTCAAGTCAACCCCATTGGAAAGCTCAGATTGTTTTGAGTAAACAGGCCGTAGCCTGGGAATGGGAGTCGGCATTCAGTAATGGACAAGTAACCCATGGGCAGGCATCTCTTGATTTAACTTTAAGCCACATCACAATCTTTTATCTCCATTGTAAAAGCATGGTGGATGGAGAGAATAGTCTTTTCTCTTGTAATTAAATTTTAGAGCTACTGGAAAATAATGGTGCCAATTTCATTATTTTGTTTTCCTTTATAGCTGTAATTCTATGTCAAAATGAAGTATGTTAATTAATCTGTGCATAGTGCATCAAGCAAAGCAAGAGGTTTGTTGGTTTTTTTGGGGTTTTTTTTGTGTATAATATTCTATGGAAAAGATTACTACTCTATTAAAATATACACTAACAAACACTGTGAAATAAACAAAGGTTGATTAACTGCCCCATAAAGGTCATATTTCAGTTGTAAGATTTCTCCCAATTAAATGTTATTTGGATACATTCCACAGTCATGGCATGGTACTGACATAAAAGCCAAACTCAGACAGATTGCAGTCTTTCATATACATGCTGTCTTCTTACTAACATTTTTGAACCAAAATGATATGAAAAATATATATACTTACAATCTGGTAACTCAGGCTTTTGTGAACAAGTGTTGAAGCATGGGAAACAGTGAGTGCGTGGTACTTCTGAAAAAAAAGTCCAACATGAATCCAGTAAGAGTCATTATAAAATGTTTCTTAAATTGTTGTTTACCAGCATTTTTGGCAAAATATTTTCCTCAGGCAGCACAAACTACCGAAGAAGAAGAACCCAAGAATTCTGGACTTTTGTGGACTGTACTCAAGAATGTTACAAAAAAACCCACCAAAACCCCCCCAAAAAAGCAGGAAAAGTTTCTCTGGTGGCTAAATCAGGCCTAATATCTACACTCACCCATCAATATATCTTAGATAGCACTCCACTGTAATCACCACTTGAGCATTCACAAATATTTCTGAAAAAAGATTGTTTAAGGTAAACCTGTGGAAGTTGCACAGAAATTCACATGCTAATTTTGAAAGCATCAGTATTTTTTGTTGACTAAAAAATTCCCTTTCTAGTGATTGAGTGATAGAGCATTTCCCCTGCGAGGTTAGCAGGCTCGGGTTCAGACACCTACCCTGCATTATTTGGACCTGCATTATTTATTTATTGAATCTGGGCTTAGGTAGATTTTGTCAGACTAAGTGCCTGACTGTCTCCAAGTGATTCAGGATGCTTCAGACCTATCTCGTGGTTGCTCTGGTTAACTTATTCATTCTACTGAAGAGCTATTTATATCAAGTGGAATATGTACAAAATGGAAAACAAATGAAACAAAACCAGCATTGCTCTGTAAACAAAAATTTGTAGTGGACTTAGCCTTAATGCAAATGCCATGATGGCTGGACAGAACAGACCCTGGAACTGACATGGTTTGGTATATTTTTTTCCAGAAATAGCTAAGCCTTTGCTCTCAACAATAATAGTGTTGTTTTGCTTTCCTCACAGCTGAGGCAACTGTCAAGAAAAACATTGCAACTTGTTTGATACATTCACTTGACAATTCTCAGGCTTGAATATTTATTCTTATTAATTTCTGCAATTAGTCCCATGGGAGTTGTTGGAGGACATGCTACACTACACAGTTCAGCATTATAAAAATACCCCACATGTAGATTAAGCTGTCTGTCTGAAATCATATTTTCCATTCTTTTTTCCCACAATATTGCTTAAGGAAGTGTAAGTTCCTAGGAGATCTTTAATTTTTTTGAAAGGCATTTTGATGGATATGTGTCTACTGAAATTTGCTTCTGGGTCTGAGGTTGACTGAATATGCAGGTGAGTATCACATTAAACACAAATATATAGAAGACAAATCAGCTTCTTATAGGTGAGTGTTCTCAAAAATAAAAACAGTATTTTGCACTAATAATAGTCTATAGCTGGAAAAGAAGTAAGAATTTTTGGCATAGATTATATTAATATACTGTGATTAAAATTGTTTTGTTAAAGGATATTTGGGACAGGTTTTACTATGAAAGTACCAGAGAGAGGTTTCACTTAGCTGTGATCAGGTTTTGAATATGAACTGAGATGTCTTTAGCAATAATTACACCAGGAATCACAATGATTAGAGATTTTGACTTAATACTAGATTAGAGATGGAAAGCTAAGCAAACTCCAGATATAGTGTAGATATTATACATTGGAAAACTCTTGACCAAAAGGTCCTTAAATCCACATGGAGCTTTATGGTTTAGACTCTATGTATGATCACAGACAATGTGGAGCAAAGGGATCAAATACACCTGATTTTAGCTGTCCCAGTTTTAGCATGCTCCCCTTAAACTGCATCAAATTTATAGAAAATGCATTACAGTTAGGGAAGTTTGTAATTTTCCCATAAGGAACGTTTGCAGTGAAGCAGCTGACTTGATTTCTGTCTCTGACAGCAGTTGATAGCAGATATCTAGAGAAGAGTACAGGAATGAGGTAGTAACATACAATGTTCCCAGAGCCTCCAGAGCATCACAGTTCAGATAATCCCTAAGGCAGTGGTAGTGTCTGTTGGTTCAAGAGACACTGGATTATTTTTTAGTGAATTTGCTCATTCACTTTTTGAGTCTGAATGGGTTTACTCTCTACTATATCCCATTACAAAATTCCTCCGCTGACCCACACATAAAGTAAATTCTTTGTTTCATGTGAGCCCCCTAACTTCTTGTACTTAAAAAGGTGGTGGATAGATTCTTTTTTGTCATCTTTCTAACATTTATGATACTGTAGAGGTTTCATATCTTCCCTAGTTTTATCTCTTCAGGTTGAAAGGGCCTGGTCTAGTTGCTCATTTGTGTCCAATAGAAACTATTCAACAACCTCAATCATGCTTTAGCACTAGTATTTTTTCTAATTGTCATTAAAAAATTGTGAAGAGGGGGAGGGAGGGAGGGAGGGAGGGGAGGAAGGGAGGAAGGGAGGAAGGGAGGAAGGGAGGAAGGGAGGAAGGGAGGAAGGGAGGAAGGAAGGAAGGAAGGAAGGA